TACCTCAATTTGCTTCTTTTTCTTTTCCTCCAAGAGCATCACCATAATCCTCATTTTACGTTTCACAGTAAAAAAAAAATTTGGCAAGCCCTTTCTTATCAGAAAAATCTGCTGTTAACCTGGCAGCTTTACCGTGCACTTTTCTATGAGCACAATCCACTTTGTCTCGCTCCTCCCGTCTTGTGTTCTCTGCCTTTACCCCGCCCAGGCAGCACTTCTGTGACGAATAGTATCTGAGTGCCAAAAGTGTATATTTGCTCCGACGACTTCAGAATTCCACACAGAAAAAAAAAAAACACTCTGGGTCTAAAAAGTTAATGCGACAGAGCCGCCTGAAATCGACAGTGCTATTCTGTCATTGTAGAGTTACAGAAGAAGATGTGAACTCCAGAGGGAACTTAAAAGAGGAAGTACATTGTTCTGCATACCGTGCTAGGCAACTGAAGACCTGAGTCAATCAACGTAATGATGTCGTCATTAAAACTGGATTCAAGACTAATGATGTCGTCGATCACATCGTCAATCTAGATAAAGCAGATGAGAGAAAAAACAGATGGTCAAAAGGAAGTAAAGCCCTAAGGGTTAAATGTCTTAAAGTAATCAACATTACATGTATGTGAATAGTACACTTTGTAACCTTAAACAGTCTGAATTGAAGCTTGAATACCAACACTTCAGATTTAAACCAATGTAACAGCTCTGAGGGGGCCTGTTTCAAAGGCAGGAAAGCATGCAGGAGGAGGACTTTCATGGTTAAACAGTGGGTGCAGTATTTAACATCTTATTGTGACAACAGGTCAACAAGGGTATGATGAAAAAAGGCATGCATCATTACAGTGGGACTTTTGGGCATATCACTGCAAACAAACAAAAAGCAATTTAGCAAGAAGTGAGCAGAAGCCTTAAAAAATAACCACTGTCATTTTGCAGAAACGCAACTTTTAACAAGGTTGTGTAATCTGCTGTGGGAGAAAGCCAAAGCCACACACAAGAACTAAAACCAATGTTCAGGAATCTTCTTACTTCCTCCTTGTTGGATCCGATGTTGAGCAAAGCCATGGGACTGTTGGGGGCACTGCTGGCCATTGGGGCAACTTCAGGAGCAGAGCTGGACTGTGGCACAGGGGACAACCCCAGGGTCTGAGTAACTGCATTGTTACCCAGGGTGGTGGAGAGGTACTGCTTCACCTGCTGCCTCTGTGCTTGCTGGATGTGGTACTTGGTGGGGTTCTCCAAATGGGTCTGCACCTGATCATTTGAACAGTTATTAAGGACAGATGTTCCGACATAATCAGACTTCACAAAATAAAGAACTGGGTGATGAACATACAAACATGCTTACCTTTAGCACCTCCACTGGCACCTGTGCTGGAGGGGGACGGGCAGCATTTGGGGGAAGTGTGACAGAGATGGCTGGAGTGCAGTCGGAGGCCCGGAGCTGAGAGGCAGAGGCCTGCTGCTGGGCCTCGCGTCTCTCCTGCTCCTGGGCTTGTTCTCTCATTAGCTGCTGCCGCAGCAACACACGTGATGACATGGCTAAGGAGAACGTTCCAGATCTAAGGATGGAGCTGGAGAAAAAAATAGAACAAAGAATAATTTTAGATACAGTTGATAATACAACTAATTCACAGTATGTCATGAACTCTATCATTTATCTGTAGTATTCTAATGCTGAGGTTATTGGGACCTACAGAGAGGTCCCTTATACCATTGGTTTCAACAAAAATGTCAACAACTGCATTTGTTTTAGAATATAACAAAAAACTTCTATAGCCATCGTTGTTTACACATCTGATATTCAGTGAACCACACCGAGATAATTTACTCGCAGAATAGTTTGAGAAATGTAACATTACGCTACTACACAGATATCATATGTCATTTAAATCACACAATCACAAATGCATCAGGTTCCAGTTTAATATATTGTAATATTTGCTGTGGAAATTGAGATGCTATGGGGAAGTTCTCACTTCCAGAATTAGTGTCTCAAATGCTCTTCTTTCTGATGGCTATTATCTGAATTTGATACTTTTGAAAGCATGACACAGTCTCAACGTCCTGTATTTTAAAATGGTTTTCCACACCATCTCCTCTTGTGAAACTCCAATAGACTGGCTATCACAATGGTCAAGACGTCCCCTTCAAACCTCAACTGTAGTTCACTGAAGTATACAGATGAGTTAGTGGTGAGTAGCATAACTGAACACTGGTGGGCATCCAGCGAACTCCATTTGTAATTTGACTTTTATTTTTGGACTTTTGATCACAGCAGTCCACCTTCTTTCCTGGTATTAATTTGCGGATCTGCATTCCTGCTTGTTGATACGGATACTGAGCTGCAGGTGAGCTCATCCAGCCTCCTCGACATCATCCTCGTAACTGGTAAAACTGGTAATGGGGGCAATGGCTTGCTATTACTCATAAATTGACTTAGCTCTCGCTCTGTATAAGACAACATGTGTTAAGCTGCTGTGGAACTTCCAGACTTTTATTTTCCTGTTTTCATTTTGCACCTTAGAATGGCGTACAATAATAAATGACCTCACAACCACAGCTCATGTCAACATAAGAAAATAACACACATCTACATAGATAGCAGTGAATCACATACAGTAACATGACTGTATAACTTCTTCAGGCCTTGATCCTTTTTTTCTTTTTTAATTCAATTACTTTTTCTGATTTTCCAGGAATTTGGGCACTGCTGAACTTTGTACAAACTCTAATCTAATGTTTGATCTAATGATAGTTTTTCAAATTTCAGCTCCAAACCTCTTCCTCTGAAAGATGAGCTGGATATTAACCACGAGCTCTTACCACACACCAGCATCCATATTGTCTGCCTTTAGTCGCCCTGTTCACAAGCAAAGACCTATATCACTGCATTAGACCGCAGGGATAACAGAGTTTTTATTTTACACGGTCCTGTAGTGGCTGCATGGACACAGATTTCATTTGATTACAAGTATTCATGTTGTTACATGTTGTGCATGTGTGTTTACATGGCGCATATTCTCAGTATGGTTCCTTCCCATGGATCTGGTTTGTTAAAAGTGGTCCTTGTCTCTTCTGACAAAACACGCAGCCATCGAACCTGCACACGTTTGATTCCCGGGAAGTCGTTGGACTGGTTTTAGTGGGTTTGGGAACCATTACCATCACGTATAATCAGCGTTTAGCCCGGTCTGCGTTTAGCTGTTTTCGTAATCTCTATTTTTAGCTAGCTCTAATCTAGCGCCATGAGTTAGCGGAGTTCACTTGACAGCTCTGTGCTGCTAATGGCGCCCACAACACCACTAAAGCTGCCTTTCACACCGAGACAGCTTCACGAACACCTTCCACCAGGGAGGCCGATCATTTCTGTCGAAGAGTGCATGTGTATCCACGGATCCTCACCACACAGCCAAGTCGAAATAGGAAGTTGCAGTTAAGCTCACTGGTTAGCATCCGTTAGTTCTCCCCTCAAGCTAATGCTACCAAGCGAGGCGACTCGAGAAAGAGGATAAAAACACGTACTGTGATAGAAGACTTGTTTAACGTGATCACAGCCACGAATCCCGGAAGTCCTCCGCTTTCTTTGCCATGTCGATAAGTCGGTGAATACAGGCTCTTGAACGGTCGCTAGCCGCAGCTCCTCCAGCCTTGTTTACCTCGGGCCGACGGGCTGAGGTCATCCACGTTACCCGGAACCTGACAGCTGTGACTTCACGGCTCTTTCACAGCGGCCTCCATCACTGCTGCTCCAGCTGAGACTTCAAGATGACAGTGACAACAATACACCAGGTGGGATCCCACGTGAACGAGCTTTGTAAAGAGGTCCGGACAGGTGGAGATGTCTCAGGGGCAGATCGTGTAAAAACATCACAACCAAACCAAATGTTCAGGATTACTTTAAAGTTTCAGAGTGTAGAATTTAGTGACATCTAGTGGTGAAGTTGCATGTTGCAGCTGAATACCCCTCACCTCCCCTTCCAAACATGACAGAACCTGTGAGGCCTTCAAAAGGTGTTTCGTTGGTCCAGTTTGGGTATTTGTCCAAATCATTTCAGCCTCTGTAGAAAAGACCCACTCCTGATGTAAA